CTGGGGCTGTGGTCGCCGGCGCTGGTCGCCGCCTCCTCTGCGGCAGCTCGCAGAGGTGCTCTGACACACACACAACATACGTACATAATATACATACACATCAACTCACACACATCAAGTCACACACAACAACTCACACACAACAGCTCACACTGATCTCAACACATCAACTCACACATCAACTCACACACAACACGTTACACACAACAACTCACACACAACACTCACACACATCAACTCAGACACATCAAGTCACACACAACAACTCACACACATGCTCTCAGAGGCGCTGGGCTCTCAGAGGCGCTGGCGCTGTGGTCGCCGGCGCTGGTCGCCGCCTCCTCTGCGGCAGCTGGCGCTGGGGCTGTGGTCGCCGGCGCTGGTCGCCGCCTCTACTCTGGCTGCGCTCGCCGGCGCTGGTCGCCGCCTCCTCTGTGGTAGCTCTTAGAGGCGCTGGGGCCGTGGTCGCCGGCGCTGGTCGCCGCCTCCTCTGTGGTAGCTCTCAGAGTGCTGGGATGTGGTCGCCGGCGCTGGTCGCCGCCTCCTCTGCGGGAGCTCTCAGAGGCTCTGGGGCTGTGGTCGCCGGTGCTGGCCACCTCCTCTGTAGCACCTCTCAGATGCGCTGGGGCTGTGGTCGCCGGCGCTGGTCGCCGCCTCCTCTGCGGCAGCTCTCGGAGGCGCTCTGACACAGACACAACATACGTACATATACATACACATCAACCTACACACAGCAACTGACACATTCAAGTCACACGCACATACACATACACATCAACTGACACACAGCGACTGACCCAGACACAACATATCAACTTATACACAGCAAGTGACACAGACAAAACAACTGATGCCCACGTACGCATCAACTGATACACAGCAACTGACACACACAACATACGTACATAGACATACACATCAACTTACACACAGCCACTGACACACACAAGATACGCACATACACATACACATCGGCACTGGGGCTGTGGTCGCCGGCGCTGGTCGCCGTGGCACGTTTGGTTTGCGTACTGTTTTAGGCTTCTTCACCTCAGCGGGGTTCACAGGCGCCAATAGAGGGAAGAGTCGAGTGGAAAACAGAGTTTCCTGTGTTTTCCCTGTGTTTTGCATTGTGTGTTGCGGTGCTGTTTTGGAGCACAGCATGTGGAAGCGACAGTAGTATGTCTGCTGCGTTTGCGTTCTTGAGGCGCAGCGACCTCAGTGGACTGGTGCAGATGTGTGTGATGTGTATCTGTTTGATAGGAGACACAGATACCAGATATAGATACAGTGGGATTACTTACAATGTGTATATATATATGTATCAATATTATATAGACACATCTCGAAAGAAGGATCCAGCACCTGTATGAGGTTTCTGTCGGATAGGAGCAATGCTATGTGAGTGGCCTTGCGCACGCGACCGGGGCATTGGCGAGATGGAGTGGCGAGCTGTGCGCGAGGGCGGTCGGCAGCAGTGGCGGTAGCCTGAGGTTTGAGCTTGTTGCTGCGCACTGCGATGCTTGGAACAGTGGTTGTTGTACGCAGTGTGAGGTGGCACGTGATGTGGTAGCAGTTTGATACTCGAATTTGTTTGACATTGGACGCATGTTTGTTTGATGCTGCGTTCACACAGGGTTCGGCATGTGATCCGCAGCAGCACGACTCAACTAGTGTCGCGACAGTTCTGCCCGCTGGAAACCGGAGTGGTAACCAGCGAGTTTGTTTTTTGCGCGTTGCTTCCATGCAGCCTCTTGTGTACGACGCGCGAGAGCGGCAGTATTACCTGGAACTGTTGCCGGAGGCACGTAGATTCGCAAGAAGTAGTGGTGGTTGAGTAGGATAGACAGTGCATCAACATGTTCATTGTGGAAGTATTCAATTCTCCACGACGCAACTGCGAACTGCTCATGGCGGTAACTCCGAGCGAATGGCTCCGTGCGAGGGAGGTGGCCTCGATCGAGCAGTGACATATGTAATTGTAATGTGTGAAGCAGCCACACCGCTATCCGCTAGAGAACGCTCAGAGACGCAGCGCATGCATCACTCACTGGAAAGACATATGCCAGCAACTTTGGAAGCAGTCCATTGCGGCTGTGCATGCTGAACAGCCCGCGCATGTTTTGTTTCATTGCTTCGGCGGGATCAATTGCAGCGCTGCCGTACTCTGTGCTTGGCTCATCGTGGCTCACAATTACTCGGCTGCAGATGCCATCGGACTGTCGCTACCTCTGGCAGACCGAATTTGCCAAACCTGTCGATGCCGCGAGTCCGGACCTCGCTGCAATGTGAAGCTACCGGACTGTATCACACCATCGGCCTTTTTTGGTCGGGATGCGCGTCGACCCGGAGTGGTGAGACGGCAGACAATCGACTATACCATGCGGGTCAGCGCACCGTGCGTACCTGTCGACGCGGAGTGTAGAGACGGGCAATGAAGCGCGTGTGAACACATTCGCTTTGGAGAGACTGGCAAGACAACAGGGTGAGAGTGAGTGTGAGAGTGAGTGAGTGTGAGTGTGAGTGAGAGTGAAGGTGGGTGCTAGTGAGTGTGGGTGAGACTGAGAGCGAGTGTCCATGTGCGAAAATGCGCACGGCGCCACAACGAGAGCGCAGTCGCTAGAAGCACCCGCAGCGGGCCCTCAGATTCTGCGTGCCTGCGCAGTCGAAATGCACATGGACGATGTCGAGAGGCATGAATGTACTGTAAATAGCAACGAATTAGCCGGTCACGCCCGCGCGCTTCAGCGATCTAAGCACACCTGCTTTGCCACTACCGTAAAAACCCCTAGTTTGTCCACACTGTTTGGGGAAAACATAAGAGTCTGCTTTGAGATGTGTTTGGTGGTGAAGTTGTTCTGCGGGCACCTTTTGTATTTGAAATGGGCTGTGTGCAACCCATGCGCTCTACACCCAAAGCCGTGTAAAATCAAAACGTGCGAAGCTGACCCTTAAGAAAACAGTTGTTGTATATTTAGGCCTGCTACCTCTAGAAAACAATATGGTTTGATATGATATGAGGTGGCTCAAGTCGGTCTATGCTGCCAGCAATGGCTGATGACACTGCTGAAGACATCAGTTGTCACATTGATGAGAACACTTGATCATAGCCAAAGGGCCCAGTGCGCAAATGCATCGCCTAAAGGCGCATTTGCGAAACCTGTTTTCAGACATGGCAAGTGTCCTGTGCTTCTGGTTTTTGCCGTTTGGTGTTACGTTGTCGTTTGTTCACAAATTTGGTCGTTTGTCTTGCCTGCGTCGTTCGTAGCCCAAAAATGTCGGCTGCGGCGGCGATAATTTTTAACCTTTCTGGGAGCTCTATGTCTTTTGTCGTCTCTTCGGTCTGTCGGCTTTTGATTGTCATCTGGAAGTTATGCTTTCATCGTGGTCTGTCCATGTACAGGTATTTACTATGTAGAATTCGTCCCCTGTGCTTGGGCGGTCTCGTTTGCGTTGGCGCCGCCTATTTACATCAAAAGACTTTCAACACTTGGTTATCATTTTCTCTTTGTGTGCACTTTGTCGTTTGCGATCCATTCGCCCCATCTGTTTGGGCGATGTCGATCGGTTGAGAGATACCGGACACTCACTGGTCATCACTTGTTCGCGTGGTGATACATATATATATATATGCGGCTGTATCAAGAGAAAGTCCTTTGGTCCTCTGCGTGCAATTTGTCGTTCGCGCTCTATTCATCCCGTGTGTCTGGGCGATGTCCCACGAAACCTCAAGAAAATAGGGGTCGGCGCCACCAGGGCGGAGTTCTTACAATAAAAAAAGAAAAAGAAAAACAATGTGTGAGACAAAATGAAGGCAAAACCAACAAAAAAACACATTCTATAGCATCCTCCTTTTGTCTCAAACATTGGTCTTTATTGTTTTGTTGTTTTTTGGCGTATTTTCTTGTTTGTATGTTTTACTTTTTTTGTATTCCTTCTAAACCTTGTCGGCCTGGTCTGAATAATTGAGGCCAAACAAAACTTAGGTTTTCGTGAAGCTTCAGCCAAAAAACACTGTAAAACACCGTGTTGTTGTACATTTTCTGCACGAAAACATCTCCCAGGAGCACCATATTCTGTTCTCTCATCTGTTCCATATGAATGAATATGAATAAGCTGTTCTGCTTCCCTAAGATGGCCCACGGGCCCCTCCCTCGGCTGTCGCTCACGTCAAATCTCTTCCAAGTGGCACATCAGGAATGCTTTCAGACAAGCAACCGGCTTGAAGTTTGCAGGCGACCTGACTCACACCCCGTCCTACCCAACCGGCCCACCAGAAAGCCAACGGCGCATCCTAACATATAGGTGAAGCTGCTTGAGTTGCTTCATGGATGGCGCTTGTTGTTTTGGGGAATGTCAGGCTTCAGTTTTTGGCGAACAAATGACATGGAGAGTCCAGACTAATCCAGACTACTTGAACTATCCTTGAACAGCATGAACCGCTTTGGTTATTCCATCTTAAGCAGTCCACAACACAAATAAACACCAATCTCGCAGCTCCCAACATCTGTCTTCAGCACCAAACTTCAGTTTCAATCAGGAATAACTTCCACGTCTCCGCGGGAAGCCTCATTCACTTCCTGAATCACGCTGTGCTGCTGCATGGTAGTTTCAGATTCCCTGAGAGCCAGCGCGGCAAGTGCACAACCCGTCATGCGAGAGCTGCTGCCAACCCCAAAAGTGGGTAACGATCGTTGTCATGTTTTCTGTCATGAGATGGTTTTTCTTGCAACATGGTGCGACTACCTTATCCGGTGGCATTGCCAAAACCATTACAACATCAAAAGCCGGCGCGCGCCGACGCGGCTCGACAGCACCGGTTTTGTGCCAAAAGGCCGCCCTGCGGTCGCGAAGTGACGAGGCGGCTCAAGGACAGCTGCGGCTAACACAGGGGACATGAGGTGCTTCCACTGCTTCGTTTCTTGTCCGTTTCACACCCCTCCTTAGCCGCGGCTTTCCTCCGTGGGAGTGAGCTGCCATGCACCTTCATGAAGTGCGCTCACAGCCAACCTTGGTGAGAACATCAGCTAGAATCTGGCTCGCGTCAAGCCAGTGGGCATAGGCTTCATCATCATCTTCATAGTTGTTTTCTCCCAGCAGTTCCTTGACCTGCGCGACCAAGATTCGGACTCTCTTGTCCGTGGGCTTGCCACAGTCCTTGTTCAGGGCGCTCTCCAAGCTCTTTGCGTCAGTCATGCAAAGAACCTTCTCGTCGGGGTGCTGGAACTCCATCAGGAGAGCTCGAACATACTCACCGGCCTCGACTCCCATCAAGAAGCCATTGGACTCAGCGGCAAGTGTGCTCCTGCAAACCCTCTTTATGGAACCACTGTAGGTCTCCAGCACAAACATGTGGGTGAGGTCACCGTTGAGGATCTCAGGCAAGGTGAGGGTAACCACAAAGCCACATTGCAACTTCAGTCCTTCAGTGTTGGCGAAGGAGCTGTCAGCAAAGACGCACACATTCACATCCTCAAGCTTCAGCTTGGGGTTGGAGACAAAGCGCCATGTGCTTTCTGAGGTCTCCTTGACCATCTTCACAGCCTTGCTGAGGTTGACCACATCACGGATCTTCGGTGAACCCATGGACTGGGCGGCAACGGAGACGTTGACCATGACATCAGGACGCGTCTGGCGCGTCACCCATCCAAGCTGACCGATGAGCCCTCTAAAGGCTGTGACTTCTTCTGGTGTCAAAGGTGCTGCCATCATAGCACGTCGGCGCTTATCCAGTGGCATGTAGTCCACACTCTCGATGGCATCAAACTGGTCGAGCTCGATGGTGAAGTCATCGCTCTGACGGACATTCTTTCCGCAAAACCTGAAGTTCTTGCGCTGCACCTTCAGATGATCTCCTTCTCCATGGAGGCGATGCTGTTCTCATACTCAGTGCCAGTTCCAGCACACAACAAGTCATCAACCCTGGAGGGCGCCATCAACAACCAACATGAAGAGTGCGGCTTCCAGCTTGGACATAGTCTATCCATGTGACCTTAGTGTCTTGTAGAGCTTTCGCCACCAGGATCGTCCAGCATCCTTGGCGCCATAGATGGAGCCCAAAGCACGGAAGTGGTCACGCAGGCTCACTCGGGGAGGTGGAGGTCTTGGTGGTCGCAGCAGTAGAAGGCGGCTGATGCCCTGAGACTGCAAGTAGGCCGTGGAGGCATCGCAGGATGTGATCACCCATTGCTTCATCACTGCGATTGAGCAAATGAGGTTGAATGCCAGGAGTGATGCCGTAGGGCTATCCGAGCGGATGTTAGTGGGATTTTCTTGACATCTCTGAACCACGAGCCTGCTCTTGGCTTGAAATGGGAACTCCTTCTTGATCTGGGCATCTGTTTTGCCGGTCTTCTTCTCCATACCTTTGGCCAAGAGCCGAGGTTTGCTGTTCTTGCATGAACCCATCTGGCGCCGATGATCTGTGCATCATCTGTGGGAGGTTCTCGATCTGCTCTCTGGTGAGGATCTCAACAGCACCAAAGTTGGTCCATGAATCCCACTCCTTTTGCATCGATGCTTGGAACTTCTCACGATCTTCCTCGTTGAGGTTCTTCGGCAGATTTCGGTCGATGCGGCCTTGCCAGTCAGGAAGGTCTCGGCAGGAATGACATTGGGCACGTCGTCATAGTTATCCTCAGAAGAGGAGTGTTCAGCACCGTACTCCTTGAGCAAGTTGATCTGCTCATCGTTCAAGTGCCTGAGCTGGTTCAGCGGGATGGTGTATACGGAAGGCTTAGACAATTCCAAGGAACACCATCAGCGTAGTATGGACCAGCTTGTGGTTGGTATTCGGTGCGAACAGGACGGTATCCATGACCGTCCGTCCAACCCGTCAGGATTCTGCATGGCACTCTGTAGTGGAGTGACTGGGCGGCAATATCTCGCTTGGTCTGCGAGAGGTTTCTTGTGGAGGTAGAACAGCAGGAGGCGGAGTTGATACTGGCAGTGGAGCTGGTTTGGGTTCTTGTAGTTGACCTGGTCCTGCATTCCCAGACACAGCATGTGGTTCTTGTACTGCTTCATGTTCAGGCAGATTTCCCAATGCGCCAGGACGGCTTGCTGAGGAAGGCTGGGGAGGGGTTCACCTGGACTGAACGGGAGCGTGGACATAGGGTCATCTTGATGATCATCTTGAATTGCCGGAATGGCAGTGTGTCCACGGAGGTCAGTGTCGTTCCTGGCTCCTCGACCAACTGCCGGGTGAATGACCTCCTCAGGGATCGAATGTAGCCAGAAGTTCATCTTCACTCGCAAACTTAAGCTGTTCGCCAGTCACCAGGATCACGGACGGGCCATACCTGAGCCAATAGGCATGTGGCTGTCCTCCTTCAGTGGCAGGCTCAGGATCTTCAGCTCGATGTTGGTTTCGGCTCTCAGCGCCGATGACTCGAGCAGGGCCAAACCATCTGTAGTTTCGTCCTTGGCCACGTGACTGTTGAGGTGCGGAGGCTTGGACGCGGTAGAAGTAGACGTAGCTGCCAATCGGAAAAGGTACGTAGAAGAGCTCGTCGGACTCTGGAGTCGTTGTCGAGGCGGATCTGAGCGACTCTGGCACTCTCTCTGACGCCAAGCGATCGAGCGAAAGATGAACTCGGGTCTTCTGCGGCCTCAAGCAACTTCAACTTTTGAGCTTCGTCTTCATGAAGTAGTGAACCAGGAATGCGGATCTCAGAGACTCCCAAGACCCATTGCGAAGGTGAGAAGCCGTTTGGCCGTGGAAACGAGTTCCAGCGTTGGGTCACGATGGTGGTCGCCATGATCACATCTTCAAGCCCTTGAAGTTGCATCCCGTGGACAGTCTTGTAGAAGACATCTTTCCAGGGTGCACCGGCTCTCTCAACCTTGCCATTTCGCCAAGGGGCTCCAAGAGGAACGGTCACCAAATTCGTTGAGGGAGTCACTGAAGAAGGCGAGGTACTCCGACTGGCGCAACCCTGCCCATGAGCTCCATGAAGTGAGGAAGTGCCTCAAGACTGCCTTTGAAGCTGGAGATCCAGTAGATTGCCCAAGACAGGAAACCACTTGATAGCCCGTCGCATCGTCAATGACGTTGAGGAAGGAGAAGGAAGATCCAGCGACATCACGGGCATAGAACACGTCAATCTGCAAGTGGTGGTTGAAGACATACTTTGTGGGCAGTCGGACAGGTTTTGGCCTCCAGCGTCTGATGCTATCTCCACAGGCATCACATCGTAGAAGATCGGCGCCTTGCAGAGCTTCTGGAACAGCTCCTTGGCGACGTAAGATCCTCTGCAGAGTGGTGTTTGTTGGATGGCCAAATTGAACATGTAGATCTCGAAGGATCTTCCTGATCTCTGGAGAGAATGTGAGCCATCTTCGTCTTCTCTCACCCTCGGTGATGTTGAGGATTGGATCCAGCTCTGCCACTTGCGAGGCCCGGAACGAGGCATCGTCCAATGGAGGTTCAATGGCTTCGGCCTCTTGATCTTCTTCAGGCGGATTGATGTCTGGTAGAGCGCAGGTTCATCAGGTCGGACATCGACCGGTGGAGCAGCATACTGGCCAACGAGCTGCGCGACTCTTCCCTTTTTCTTCCTTCTCTTTGCTGCATGTTCACCAGGTGGACCTTCAGCGGGACGTACTTCAGAAGGGAAGGCTTCTGCTGTGTTGTGAGATGCAGTTGCTTCAGCTGATGCTTGTTGGACCATTGCTTGCAACACCATTTCATTCAAAGTGTGAGGCCAGACAGAGGCCTGCGCTGTTCTCGAGCCATACTTGTTGTTGCCCTCAAGGTGCTCATGTTGGTGAGAGCCATCACAAAGGCATCCATCAAACACACTCTCAGCAGCTAGCAAGGTGGTGACATAGAGCGAGGGCTTCTTGTTGGGAAGGCCGCTCTCAGCATCCTTATAGCCAACTTGACATCCATCCACTCGGAGAACCAGGAGGATGCCCTCATCGATGTACTTGAGGACGTCGGCACACTCTGGCTGTTTGAGCCATGTTGAGCCCAGAGGTTGCTCAATGAAGATGCACCTTTTCGCTCTGATTCGGTCCTTTGTGATCTTGTTGACGAGAGACAGCGTGGGCTTGTTGGCTTCTCGTAGATCCATGACGGTCATAGCAGCATGTCCACCGCGAGCCAGGTTGAAGAGGCTCCAATTTCCCCATGGGCCACATGCCTGTGCGATGACGGTCAGGTAAGCTAATGTGCCCCAGTCGGGACCACACTCCAGCGTGGAGCAGCGACCGTCCTCCTACACCCTGACCACCCGAACCCGGCGGCACAGGCATGGGGCCAGCGGATTGACCACCTGTACAGGCGGCTGGGCTTTCACTGACCGAAATGAGCCAATCTCTGACCATGGGCGAGGCGGCTCAAGGACAGCTGCGGCTAACACAGGGGGCAGAGGCGCTTCCACAGCTTCGTTTCTTGTCCGTTTCACACAACACATCTCTACTCTTGAGGTTCACTGTTGAACAGTTAGCTTGTTTCAATATGCACTTGCTGTCTCTCCACACAAGGCCGCTTTCACTTTAGGCTCACTGTCACAGTGTATCTTTAGTCAGATAGTGATAGGGATATTCCTGTCGATATGCCAGCTGAAAGCATATCTTCGAAGCTAGCGCTTCAAGGGTCAAGCTTTTGCTGGCACCTTGCCGGAAGGTCCCGCAAATCCTCTTCCGTCGGCATCATCTTGTTCAAAGCCATCTTGTTCAAGGACATCTTGTTCAAAGCCTGCTATGGTAGACTTCTTGGAGATCCACAAAGTTCGATCAAGATCGTGGGTACCATGACAGAACCACGATAGAACGAACCCTTCACAAGGGTGTCCATCGGATCAAAAAATACAAACACTGCCACGCTATATAAGTACGGCAAAAGGCAATATTCGTTGTCGATGAAACCTAATCGGTTTGCGGCGTGTCAAGCTCACCCCCTCCAAGCTGGGAGCCCTGAAAAGAAAGTCAAATTCCCACTGCACCTAGGTTCCGTTCCAATATTTAGCAAATTTCAAGCAGCTTTACTAAAGTCTCAATTCTCTGCGCTCGGAAAAGGCAGCGGCAACCAATGGTCTAGCTGTTGTTGCAGTGGAACTCAGAGGCAACAATATGTACAATGGCAAGTGGCACCCTATCTCACCACAGAAAATGGAAAAGGGCCTGAGAGACAACCTGTCCACCTAGAAGAACATCTCGTTCATCTACAGCCTACTTTGACCCATGCAGAAAGTTGGTAAGCCTGCTAGAATGAAAAATACCCTGGGGGCAAACCAAATGTTTGATGTTCGAGCAGGGCGACCACCCTCCTTTGAGAGGCAAGGAAGACAATCCCTCACATCAACACAACCACCCTCTTGAGGTTCAAAGGTGGGGAAGGTGAGAACCTCGCCCACCCACTGCCATTATGGACGAAAATTTCAATTCACCCTGGCCTCTCTAAACAAACACCCGGAAGGCGAAACGTGAGAAACTGCATGCCCAGCGCCGTTGGGCTTTTGGTTGGAACGGGACACAAACTTGGCGGTCGTCGTCGTCCCCCAACGTCCCTCCTGTCCCCCGTCTTCGCCTCGAGCAGGGTTTGCAGTCGGCTCACCTCGTACTGACGCTCTTCCAAGGTGATACTCCTTGTACTGTACTGTTCCATGAAGACCGTCACAGCTCGTCCTTGCTGTCGATTGCTGCGCAGCTGTGCATGGGTCTGAAGCCTGGTCATCCTGAATTTTTGTTGACTGATTTCTACCACAGTTCTCCCTATGTGACAGCCCTGACAAGATGCCGTGCGTGCTGGGTACTCACCTTAGGATGTAGGATGCTATTGGTGTGAGCCATATTAAGACCTTTGGGTCGTTGAACCGAGAAATAGATCTTTCTCTGGAGAGCTCGGAGCAGAAGGCATTCTGCGAAACCCGATGTTGTGACAAGCAGTGAGCGCGCGTATGTGTGTGTGTGTCACCCCCTGTGCCAAAGGGTTCACTGCCATCGTTACCGTCACCACCATTTTCCAAAGCAGGGGGCCATCCCCCTCCCCAGTGGCGGATGGCCAACGAAGAGGCCACTGGGGGGGGCTGCAAACGTACCTGCTACAACTGTTGAACACGCTGTCCAATTTGATCAGTTTGATTCATGGTCCTTCATGATACCTACCCCTTAAACTTTTTTCGTTTGCCGCCGTCAGCTGCGCCGCTCGTTTTCGCCGCCGCCGACTTTCTGCAGACTTGAGAAACAGCCTTTGTTCAAACACCTTCAACTTTTCGGACCTTTCACCCTGCCGTTCCTTCGCCATTTTTTGACCTGGGAACTGAGTTAACTGAAAACCAATGTCAGAGTGTGTCTCGCTCAGCCGTCCCACTCGGGTGCTGAGTGTGATCCTCCGCAAGGAGGCGCCGTTTCATTGGGAAATCATTAACGGAACTCACCACCGCTCACCGGAATTTCACTGGAATTCACCTCCACCACCGAATTAACTGCCTCAACGGCCGCCGGGCCAAAAAACGGGATTACTTGGTCAGCCGCCGGGCTATAAAACGGTACTCTACCCCCAATGAGGCAGGTTTCCCAACCCCCCCCCTGAGTTCTACTCCCTACCTAATTGGGGCAACATAGGGAAATGGTACTCGACACACTTGTGTGTCGGTGCCTTTCCCTGTGTTGTTCCTTTTCTAGTCTTTCCTACCCGGGCGGTCTAAGACTAAAGTCCCGCTCCCTAGCTATTGCACGTAATTCATTTCTGCTAAGTAATCAGTAACTCTAGAGGGCTAAGTATTCATACACACACACGGACACACACATGTACATACACTTCCCTGCCCCCCGCTTTCCTTCTTACGCTTTCGGTCGTTTCTTGGGCTTTCTCTCAGGCTTTTTTGGTTGTTCTTGAGGCTCGTTTCCCTACCCCAGTCAAGGGCTAAGTATTCATTTTTCCTACACCTATCTTTCTTTCTTGCCCTCTTAGCGCTGCTCTTTCTGTCTTTCTTTTCTTTTGTTTCTAAGGCTTTTTAGGTGACTATTTAGGTTTTTCACATGCGCGCCGCGAAGCGGCACCGTGTGTGTGTCACCCCCTGCGCCAAAGGGTTCACTGCCATCGTTACCGTCACCACCATTTTCCAAAGCAGGGGGCCATCCCCCTCCCCAGTGGCGGATGGCCAACGAAGAGGCCACTGGGGAGGGCTGCAAACGTACCTCCTACAACTGTTGAACACGCTGTCCAATTTGATCAGTTTGATTCATGGTCCTTCATGATACCTACCCCTTAAACTGTTTTCGTTTGCCGCCGTCAGCTGCGCCGCTCGTTTTCGCCGCCGCCGACTTTCTGCAGACTTGAGAAACAGCCTTTGTTCAAACACCTTCAACTTTTCGGACCTTTCACCCTGCCGTTCCTTCGCCATTTTTGACCTGGGAACTGAGTTAACTGAAAACCAATGTCAGAGTGTGTCAACCCCTGGGCCAAGGGTTCACCTTTACCACCACCTTCACCACAGTTTCACACGCAGGGGAGTGGTGCGCGGTCTTGGAGTCACCACTCAACGAAGACACTCCTTGCACCGAGGTGAAATCCGGAAGGGACGCCTTCTGGACGTACCTGCGCTGAACACACT